TGTAGATCTGTATTAACCCACCACTCCACCAGTGGACCCATTATAGGAGGTACTATTTCTCTTCTAACGCATTGCTGATCCTCTAACCAACTTTCTCTCTCTTAGTAAACATAAATGTTCATTAATTGAATTTATAAGTGAATAAATAATATTGCTGTTCATTTTCCAGGTTTTGCGGTATCATGCAGATATAACCTCTGTTTAGCACTTACCAATATGTAAATGCAACAGTCTGAGCCTCATTTATCATAACTGAACAACTGGTTCATGTTTTTATTTTGTTCGTTTCTTTCTTATTATAAATTTTGTATTATAAAATTTTTAAAGTAAATGCTTTATATCCCTATACCTGCCAAACTGGCTAGCACAAATTCTGCAAAATAGACATTAAGAAATCTATCAAGTAATTTTAATATACTATTATTTGAAGTAATCTTAAAGAATCATGATTAAAAAGTAAATTATATATACATTAAAATACACATCACAAGGATCCTCTTTATGCTAAAGGAGAGTGAAATTAACAGATAAAAAGAAGCCTTAAACTATCCTGATTCTCAATATAGTATTCAATTTTTCACAGAATATAAATTATAATGGGAATGGTACTAGAACGGTGAAATTCTTCCCAAAGCAATCTTCAAGGCTAATCAACATAGACAATCACTCTTTTCATTTCTATAGCAATAAGAAAATTTTATGCAATATCTTTTGATTGGAGTTGTGTTGAAAATTGCTTAGTTGGAAGCCTTATTTTAAATGCAACAAGCCTGAAATATTAAATGTAATTTGCCATGAAGCCCAGAGAAAGAATGAGGCATTTGGTACATTTTTCCTAATTGTTTCTGATTACTCTCTGAGTAGCTCCAACACATCTTCATCTTCAAAATCATCTTTGAGGGCTTTAACATCTTTGACCACTACTTTTAATCAAAAAAGGCTAAAAATAAAATAATTTTACTGTTACAAGGTAGAGGTCTTTAGTGTACTGCTTTAACCCATTTTATTTAATGTGGCATAAAGAAAGATCCTTGAGAAGGTAAATAGCTGGTATTTAATGAATATTGATTAAGGTGACATAACCTGATATTAATATTGACAAATTTACTGTCCCAAGAAGAGTGATCAAAAATGAAGATAACAGACATTAGTTTTCCAATAACAATCCTGTCTTGCTTAAGTCTGCTTAGCAATAAATAAAATTCACCCTTATATTTAAATATTATTTAGAAAACTTATGCACTGTAAAAAGTTTTCTTGCACAAAAATAAAATCTTTATTCTTTATTTCTACCATGATAATAACTTTAACAAAAAATACAATTACACAGAAATTTAAATGAGTGGTCCAATCACCTAACATTATTGAGCAAGTCATTACAGTCTGAAAACTTAGTGACGTGCTCAATGTAAAGTTATCAAATTATTTACAGTGAATTACAGGGTACTTCAAAATTCAGTTGCAACCAGAATCATGGAATGAATTCTGCAACCAGAATCATGGAAAGAATTAAGCTCATGAACAAGATACTACCGTATAATAGTGAATGTAATTATAATTAGTGAATTATAATTCAGATATCAATAACACTGCACGTTCCATAGCTTTATAAAAATCATTAAATTTTTCTTTCATAGTGAGAGCACCATTTGATCAAATTTCTGCTATTAATTTGGATAAAGTTATATCAATTTAAGCAAGAAATAAATCAGCTATTGACTTCATGTTTTTATGACAAGTGAGAAAGTGATATAGGTAATAACCCTGGTTCACAAATGCTTCTGTTTCAAACAGTTTAGTTCATGAATAGAAGGATTTGGAAAAATTTTGCTTCCATTTATGAATCCCACATCAGATTACATACATGATCCCAGTCATCTTCCATGATTTCACACATGGTTGTAGCTTCCTCTAGTCAAGCTTGGGGTCACAGACAGACCTGTGCACACTTGTTGTGAAGCATTTTTGCATTTATTGTTTCTTCTTAGCATATACAGTACTTTATTGTATTATTCACTCCAACATGGCTCTAAACATTTGGTAAATTAATTCATGAGCTAATGTTTCTCTCTCTGGACTATCTCTTCTGTCACATCTTTATCTAGCTAATTTCTACTAGAATTAGGAAAGATGAGCTCATTCTTTAAAACTCTATGATAGCCATCTTTAATTTCCCTGGAATGTGTATTCTATTTCTCTGTTTCTATGCTTTCTCTCTACAGAGAATTACCTACTTCTTATAAAATTTGACTTTCTTTTAATATTTTTTTCCATTATGACCTGAAAATCTAAATGCTTTAGGACTAAGTCATTAGTTTGTTTAGCTGGGCAGGGGAAAAAGCAACAGTAACAGTGTATATTTACAGGTTTGACAGGGATAAAAATAAGGTAGTTGTCCAGTTGTTTGTGAGTCCCAAGTACCAAGCACACGGGGAAACACAAGTATCTGATACCAAGAAATTGGTTTCAAAATTCACTTACATGAGCTTCTAAGACAGCTGAGACTGATAATTGTTAAAACTCTTAGGAGCCATCTTGAGGACTCCTCATGAATAATTTGGAAGGTGTCTAGACTACGGAAGGAAAATCAAAGTTTGTGGAGAATGGAACCACTGGACATTGGGTATATGGATGGTTTTAAAAAGAATAATTAAGTCTTGCGGCTATCATGCAAAAATATTCCTGGATATGAAATTAATGCCACACTAATATAAACTAGCAGTAGTTTTAAAAATATTGAAAAAGTGATATTTGCCTTACTTTAGTAATAAACATTTATCTTAGTAACACAGTTCAATGATGCACATTTTGGTTCTTGTACTTAAGAATGCAGTCATAAATACATTCATTGAAAAAAGTAAAGCACTGATACCACATGTAACACTTTCCAAGGAGATGTTGCAGGTTTGGTTTCAAACCTTCTCAATAAAGCAAAATTTCAAAGTCAGTCTTTAAAAGTTCTTGCCCTAGTATAAATTATTGTACAATTATGGTGGTGATCTAACCATGGCAGAAGGCCAAAGTAGGAACCTCATTCTGACAACCACTCCCTCCTTCTTCTTCTTCCACCCAAATTGTTACTTTCGTTCCTGTTTGTATGTGAAGAAAATTCCAATCAGTTCCTCACACGTCATCAATATCCGCCCCATGTGCCACTTCCAGAGGTCGTTTAACCCTCTGTCCCTTTGTATCCAGTCAGAGGAGAAAGCCAAACTGCTGTGGATTGTGGGCCTCGCTCTCCATCCTCAAATAAAAAGGCTACTTTCTTTTTCCTTCTGCTTCTCTATTGCACCAGAAAACTCTAACAAGTCTCACAATAGTTTTGGTTCCTCAGTGGTTATAACTTTTGTTATATCTGTAAGATAAGAAATATCTTATTGCTAAAAATGTTAATTATCTGAGCCTTTAGCCAATCATAATCTTTCTGCTGGTGCAAGATCTTCTCTTGATGTTAATGACTGAAAACTGATCAGAATGGTGGTTGCTGAAGATTTGGGTGGCTATGGCAATTTCTTAAAATAAGACAATAATAAATAAGACTGCTGCACCAGTTGTCTCTTCCTTTTATAAACGAACCCTCTTTAGCATGCAATACTATTTGATAGCATTTTATCCACAGTAATTCTTTCAGATTTGAAGTCAGACCTCTCAATCTCTGGTGCTGCTTTATCGGCTAAGTTTATAATACATTCTAAATTCTTTATTATTTCAACAACATTCACACCTCCTCAGGACTAGATTCTATATTAAGAAACCACATTCTTCATTTTTTTCCAAGCAACATCTCCTGATAAAGTTTTATTCTGGGATTGCAGTAATTCAGTCATATCTTCAGGTGCCACATAAATTCAGAATCTGTTTATTACAACCACTTTCATGAATTATTTTAGCTACCTATTCGAGAAGACTTTGGACAGTGTTTACATTAGTACTTCTGCTTTTATGTTATGGAAATGGATTTTCCCCTTAAATCTCATGAACTAACCTCCACTAGCTTCAAACTTTTCTTCTGATTCCTCTTCACCTCTCTCAACCTTTATAGAATTGAATATAGTGAGGGCCTTTTTTGAGATTAGGCTCTGGTTTAAGCTTATACTGTGACTAGTTAGCTCTTCCAACTAGACTACTATGGTATTTTCTATATCAATAGTGAGTTTTATTTTTGCTTTCTTACCACTCATGTGTTCCTGTAGTGCTTGTAAGTTTTTTTCAAACACTTTTCTTTTTCATTCACAATTGGCTAACTGCTGCACGAAGTCTAGCTTTCAGCCTGTCTCAGATTTCAACATACCTTCCTCGCTAAATCCACCTTTTGACTTATTCAACCATTCCTCTTGCTTATACCCTTAGAGACCACTATATGGTTATTAATTGCCCCAGTTTCATAGTGTGTCTAAGAGAATAGGAAGACCCAAAAGGAGAGAGAGAGAAATGGAAAAGCTGGTCTATAGTGCCTCAAAACATTATTTACCAACTGACAGTTGAGTGCAGTTCCCAGCATTTCTCATAACATCAATAATCTCTGATCATAACATTAAATGATGAAGTTTTAAATACCACAAAAATTACCAAAATGTAACACAAAGTATGTACACAACGTAGGAAATTACATCAATAGTTTTGATCTAGGCAAAGTTGCAACAAGTCTTCAAATTGTAAACACGTCTCCTATCAAATGCGTTAAAGGGAGGTAAGTCTGTATGGACTTCCAAGTTTTCTAAGTTTAATAGGAAGCATAAATTTTCGTGTGTTTGTTGGGTGGTGAGGGCCAGGACCTGACAGAGGAGTCGTACTACACTCCAGAGTCGGGCTGGGGATGGGGGTGGTGGTCACGTAAAATCGTGACACCAAGCGACTAGACGACCCACAAAAATGGATGCTGCAGGTCTATCCAGGCTCGGAAAGCGGAAAAACATCACGTCACCAGGGCAACGACGCTCTTGCGTGCGTGCGTGTGTGCGTGCGTGCCCAGGGTGAAAGTTCAGAAGTGGTGCTGCCGCGCATTCCTGTTAGTGCGGCGTCCAGACATAAGGTCGGAGTGGAGTACTACCAAGTCCCAAGAACCCCGCCCGGTGAGCGTTAGCGAGAGGACCCGCGCCTCCTTCCTGTGCCGTCTCGCCTGGCTCGTCTTCTGGCCTGGGAAGGGAGTGCAGCCCCGCCTCTGGTCCCGCGCCTTCCTCCTGGTTGCGCCCGCAGAGTTGACGCTTGCCATGGAAACGGGGCGTGGCCCACGAGACGGCGATGGAACCTGGTTTTGGGGTCGCCACAACCTGTCCGCCTCCGCGTTGGGCAGTTGGCAGCGTCTAGGCGGGAACACCCAACTCAGTTTATTGGCAAAAATGCAGACCCCTGGATACCTTCACGTCGTCTCTTCCCTGGGGTGACTCGAGGTATGTTTGGCCCCGATCCACCTGGGAAAGTTTTCGCTGCCTCGGTTTCCAGTCGTGTGCACAGCCGTGTTGTTCTTGCAGACTTTTATTGCGCAAGGAACATATTTTTCGTCCTCTACTATAACATTTGTGAGCATTACACGTTTTGAAACGTAAAATTAACTCAGTTGTTAGAAGCAGTGAGCCAGCTTGGTTTTTACTAAGGATGACTTCTCATTTAGCCCGTTGAGTTGTAGCATTTTGTTTCTAAGAGACCAGTAGGAAACAGAAGATGGCTTTTTAAACTCTCGATTGAAGGATAGCAATGTTACCTCAATAAAATTTTATCAATCACCTCTCTTAGATGTCACTGCGCTCTTTCATGCCTTGGCACCAGCTAAACTCATTATGTTCCAAATTTCTCAACTTGTGACCAGTTAGAAATGAATTCTCTCGTTTCTCATACATGGCCACGTTTCTTTATGAGCCTCTCGATGCCTGTGAAAGCCCAGAATTTACTAAAGTGAAACCTAACCCCATCGAAAGGTATCTGTCAAGCCTCTGAAGTATATGCTCTGTACCCATTAGTTTCCGTGGTTTCATCCGTATTTCACTGAGATCTTCTGTTATATTGTTTCTGTGATTAGGGCAAAAATCACCCTTTGCATTTGACATGTGCTGCCCACCCACATCAAGTCCAGGGACGTTCTGGTACCTTCCAGTTCAAATATGGCGAGATTGCAAATTTAACTGTTTTGGGTACCTGTTGTCTACTGCATTTCCTACTCAATTGAGAGACCCATTAGCGATTAACTGCTGTAGATAGGCTTTTTTTAAAATAAGAGCTTTAAGACATAATTCACATTCCATACAATTTACCTATTTGAAGTATACAGTTCATTGTACTGCAATCAATTTTAGAACAATTTTGGAACCTTGCACCTTTTAGCACTTTTCTTTCCACCCCTCCGCATAATCCTTACCTCTAGCAACCCTAGGCAACTACTAATCTATTTGCTATCTCAAAATTTGCTTACTTTGAACATTTCATACAAATGGAATCTTAAAATATATGGCCCTTTTTGTTTTTCATTTGTTTTCTTTATTTGTTTTGGTTTAAGATAAAACCTTACTGTGTAGTTCAGGCTAGCCTTGAATTCACTGTGTAGTCTGGTGATCTTCCTGCTTCAGCCTCCCAAGTGCTGGGATTACAAGTGTGTACCACTAGGCTCAGAAAATACATGGCCTTTTGTGATTGGTGTCTTTCACTTAGCACTAATACTCCATTGTGTGGATGTGCAGTTTTATTTATCCATTCAGCCATTAATGGACTTTTGAAGGTATTAATAACATCTGGTTCCTGTACACATTTTTGTATAATCATCATCTCATTTCTGTTGTGTATCATGCCTGGGAGTGTAATTGCTGTATTGTATTTTAAATTGTATGTCTATTCTTTGAAGAACTTCCAGACTTTTTCCAAAGTGGCTACACAATTTTCTGTTCCCACCAGATCTTTTTGAAGGTTTTAATTTCTTACCAATGCTTGCTACCATCTTTTTTGTTTTAACTTGTTGGGGATTTGAAATAATATCTCACTATGATTTTGATTTCCTTTTCCTTAATGAATAATGATGCTGAGCTCCATTCCCTAGACTTATTGGCTATTTACATGATGTTATATATTCGCTAAATTGGCTACTCACATGTTGTTATATATCTGCTAAATTAGATAGAAACATTGTAGGCAGTCAGACAGGGCTGGGCCCTGAAAGGAGCCATTGCAGAAGAAGACAGGATCCATTGCAACTGTGGGGAGGCACATCCTTTGAGGACCAGACCTCAAGACAAAAGTGGAAGGAATACACCCACATACTTCCCCTAGAGATAAATGGCAGTGATTGATATTCTGAACAAGTGCCAATCACTTTGGGAAAGCGGGGAGGAGCCACTGACCCAAGCTCTCCAGGAAGAGCCCATGCTCAACATGACTTGCTTCCCCATTTGGTCTCTATTTAATCAAAATTACCCGAGCGATTATGCTGGTAATCTTACTGGTTGACATAGTTCTGTTCTACCTCATGCTCACTCACCTGTGATTTCCCAGTTCATGGTTTTGCTTTGTTAAAAATCCCCACAAAATCCCCTGGGACCACTTCTGTCGTTCTCAGACAGATACTTTCTTTCCCCTAATAAATATATTCTGCTCTTAATCTCTATTGTTTCTAGACTTCATTGCTCAAGTTAAACAACACCAACTCATACAAGATATTTAGCAGGTTGGGAGTTTCTTTCCCCTATATCATATGAGTATCATCTTCAGAGAAATCCTTGTTCAGATCACTTGCCCGTTTTTTAAAAATTGAAATTTTTTCATGAATTATAAGAACATTTTATATATTCTAGATACAGATCTCTTAACTATCTCCCATTCTGTGTAGATTGCTTTAACTTTCTTGATGACGAAAATCTTTTAGTTTCTCCAACCTGTCTTCTGAAAGTACTAATGCCAGTGCCCTCTTGCTGACTTAGCTATCAAAAGCTTTCCATTTTGACAATTTGTAGATTCCTCTCAGATCCACCTTTCCTTAAAGAATCTTTTCTAGCCTCAATAAAAATAATTTTATTAGTCACTATCTTGATATGATTCAAAAACTCAGTCTGCCACCAGCTGACATTCAGTGTTAAGTCACTTAATATCGCTCCTTCTAAGTGGTTCTTTTTTTTTTTCATTATTTCTAGTAATTCATATGAGTGGCAAACTTCACTTTACCTTTGCAAGCATCACTGCATTTACTCATTTTAAATACAAAAATCTTTGTAAAAGAAAAGAATAGCCTACAATGAAAAAGCATATAAAACTATCCTCACTTCTTAGTACCAGAGAAGTTCTGAAAAATGTATATATGTTGGCATATATTCATTGTTGTTTTTGAAAGAAAAACCTTTTAGTCAATTTAGTTTGCAGTGGATGTGTGAGGTGTGGGAAGAGTAGGCAAGAGGAGCAACAGAAGTGTCCCATGGCCCTGCCACACATGATGATACTTCGATGGCCTCTTCAGTTGTCTCCTTCCATTTTAAAAGTTTTCCATGAGCAATAGGATGCTAATAATGCATATTCTGGAGTTGTACATTGGGAAAGGTGAAATGCAGAACCAGCTAACAACTTGTTATTCCACCTGTGAGGCCCTGGCAGGTCCAGCACGAGTTCCTGTGCGCTGCCCAGTCTCTGGCCAGTTTGTCATTTTCTCTATAGACTGGTTCCTGTGACCTTATAGAAAACTTAAGTTTAAAGACTCTCCAAAAGTCTTCAGTATTAATAAACAGCAGGTTATTAAAAACCAGACAATTGCTAAAACTATTTCTAGCAATTTATTTATTTTTGCTGAATTTAGAGAACTATTTATTAAGAATAATAGTTTAAAGGAATTTTTAGTCTGTCACATGTTTTCTGAGTTAAAGTTTTAATAATTTAAGTTCCCTCCCACTAGATTGCCAGTTTGATCTCTGTTTCTTACCCTATGGGGAATACAGAAGAAACATGACTCAGATGGTAATCCTGAATAAAGTAGCAATTCTGTGTCTGTTTTGTTGGCCTACTTTCAATGTAGCATATGAGGAAAGCATATGGCCTAAGTCAGTGTGGTTGTGCTATTTTTAGCCCTTGAGCTGTCTTTTTACAGCTTTTGTTTCCTGACTCTTAGAGCTGTTTTTCATCTGAACATGTTAGAGATAGAAGCCTTATAAATGCATTTAGGAATTCTTTCTAGAACCATATGCTAAATCCTCAGCTCAGGGAGGATTGATTTTATTTTCTATGTAAGTAATCCAAGTTAGCATTTGAAAGATTTCTCTACATAAATGTAAGTTGTTTCTTGCAAAAAAATTAAAATTATTAAATACTTTTAAATGTTTCTAGATCTATAATTTAAGTTAGGTAATATGTTTATTTCATCTTTGTTGTAACAATGAATTGCTAAAAAAAAATTGGTACTCTTTTTCTTGATATCCTTAAGGTACTAGAAAAACATAGTTTAAATTAGTCTTTAAGTCTGGTATGCTTACTGCCTGTCAAATTCGCCTCATCTTTATCCTTGTGCATGGCATTTCTCCTTGATTGGTATATCCTCTCAGTTCTGTGTCTTACCTAATTATTTATATAAATCACTAGTTTATATGCTGTTGTTGCATATCATAGAAAAATGGGTTCTGTGATAAAATAAGTTTTGAAAACTCAACTAATACATTTTAAGCAGATTTGTGGTCGTGTTTTTGATTTCAAAGAGGTCTCAAAGCCATTGGTTTGCTTATAACCTTTGTGACCCATGAATATGACAGTCTGGTATAAAGTTGCTTAAACTTACTTGTTCATAGACTTCCTTTCATGAAATATTCTTTTGCTGAAGTAAAATTGAATCCTTTAGCCATTTTTGTTCTTTTAAAATCCTGTTAAAATAACTTATATCACCATCCCAGTTTCCACACGTTTCTCAAGCTTCTTGAGGCAACTCAGACGCTCTTCAAACTTCTTCATCTGTTGGCACTTTATTCTTGAAGAGAGCTACTTTACTTAGATTTTCATGGTCCTTAAATGAAGATAATCTACCCTAAAGGATATATATAGGTCCAGTTTTTATTTCGTGCCTTTCTCAGTTCTGGTGAAGTAGAAATCCTGACCTAACTGCAGCCATTTTGTTCAACAAAGCCGCAGTCATTCTGTTAACTGAACTCAGCTAAATCATATGATTTATTATCAAATTGAAAATTATGAATGTGCTAGAAACAATTTTGCTATATGCAACTATGCTCACCACAGATACCCTTTGTACTATAACCTTCAGCTAAAAACTTGTTTCATTCTTGTAACGTGTCTCCACCACCCTATAAATTAAGAAGCACTCTGTAATCACCACCTCAGACTTTGAAGATTTCTCCTCTGCGGTTTGTTAGCATCAGTGAAATTTCTTCCGAGCTCCTGGCTACTGTTGACTCAGTTTTTCCTACAACAGTTTCTTTTGTGT